AAATCAATACGAACGTCTGGGACAAACAACATTGCGCACGAACACATTTTCAGGAATCCAAATAGCAACAGATTATCGATATAATTATAAAATACGGAGGGGAACCGCCCGTGTATAATAATGATTAAGATTTAACCATATGCGTAGGCGTTGTTCCGAATTCAAACCAAGGTACGACATACGAACAATTTTGGCAGCAATATTTGAATAATTATAACTTTTTTACATCTCAGATCAGTTTACCCGCAGACACGTTTGGTGTGAATGGACCTCCTGACCTTTAAACAGTTTTTTGAAAGGTGTTTTAATTCAGTAACCGGCACTTGCTTTGAAACAACTTCAGCCCAAACTACATACAAAACAAATTTATCTTTTCTTATTAAATTGTGTATAAACTAATTTCATACATTAAAGAAATACGAGCTTTTTTCTTCTTCTTCTTATTCTTCTTCGCGAACAATTGAGGTTTTAATGAGATTTTCTTCTTGTTGTTGTGTTGTTGTAGTTGTCGTCGTCGTTGTTGTTGTTGTTGTTCTTCTTCTTCTTCTACAGGAATTAAATTGTCAATCTCCGATGTTTCGAGTGGCTTTTTATTATCTTATGAATCACATATTAATCTTTACTGTGTCGATGTGACGTAAAACCCAAAACAAACAAACATATTAATCTTTTATTTATTGTTTCAATAACGTTCATTTTATTGTATCTAACAATTATCAAAGCTTTTTAAATACACATAATCGCTTTTAATTATCGATTGAGCGAATATTTCGTTAAATTTTCTTATTATTTTGATACACATCTGTATTTTGTTTGTTTGTTATCATACTTTTATCAATAAAATAACGTCTTCATTTATTGGATAAGGATATATATTACGTAATAAAATGCATTTATTAAAGCCGCTACATATATTTTACAAATGATAGCTAATATAAATGTATCGATGCCATATCTATTATTCGGTGGTCCGCCTCATACGGTATACGACTTCGGTCAATCCCCACAAGTGAAACAGAATATTATTATATTTTAACTTACTTACTGCCGTATGTATCCCTTGACCGCCACTTTTGTTTCTACGTACTTGCTAATCAAACAACACTTCCGGCAAAATATGGCGGGCCGCCTCTTTGAGCTACGACTACAGTCAAAACAGTATATTGTACTGCCGCCGCTATTTTTGTTTCTAGGAAATTTCTAATCAAACAGCACTTACTGGTTCGGTTGGGGAGGATTTTGGAATCACGATCCTCAACCAAGCGTTCGTGATATTACTCACAGTCTTTGTTAATTAAAATAAGATTGAAAATGGGTGTGTGGGCACTAATGCGGCGGTTAATGTGACTATGCCTCTTAACTCAGGAACCATAGGTTCGAGTCTTGGATCAAATGGCACCAACTCTGGTCTGACCGAGGAATGGAGGACGACGGTGATTTATATACATGTATTAGTAAAAGGTCTAATAAAACTGATTTTCACATTTTTGATAGATATGTTAAGTTACAACTTTAAGAGAATATAAATTGTTTGAAATTAAGCCACGCTGTTTTAGGTTTGGTTATTCTCAAAACACCTTGACAACAGACGAAACAACAGTTTTGTATAAGTTCTAATTGAAAGGTGTTTTAATTCATTAACCGGCAGTTGCATTGATACCACTTCAACCCAAACTATGCAATACAAAATTTATCTTTTCTTATTCAATTATGTATAAACTATTCTTAATTAATAAAAAAAGTTATATCCTTTAGAAAAAGCAACCACAGCCAGGTGTATGTAGTGGAACTCTGTAAATAAAATCAATAAACAAAATCAATTGAATGGAATGTCTGATTCCGTTAATTAATTACTTTTATTCTTTTTTATCTAATCAGAATTTAAACAGTTCAGATAAGACACAATTGTGATATAAAACCGATAATACTTTCATAAAAGTACGGCAGACACATTTACAAAATACAAAAATAAAATCCAAGATGGCGGCCACTGATAATGGCGGATTAGCAAGACCCTTCACTAATATTACAAAACGTTAAAACGTTTTAGAGATTTTCATATATAACATGTCTGCGCACATCCATTAATAAATCCGACTGTTTGCGTCTAAGATTAAAAAATACTTTTTTTGAACAGAAAAAAAAATATCCGGAGATAAGCATCTTAAATCAGGGGTTACGGTTTGTCCCCCTCTAGTAAAACACTTTATTTAGTAATGTTAGATTTTTATAGCCATTTATGAGCGTATTAGGGTACCTCTTAAAACCGGCTTAAGGTAATATTACAAACAAATAAGAATAAACAAAAAATGTGTATTGTTCTTTTATCTGTCATATCTCGGCGTGTATTTCTTTATCCCTCTACTATTGCTTTCAATTTATATGAAAAAATAATAATATAATAAGACTAGAAACTTGTAGAAATTTGAAGATGTTTTGAACTGCGTAAAAATCCAAACAATTGCAATTACACTTTTTTTATTGAATTTCCAGAGCTAAAGGCTATTCATTTTGCAGCATTGATACACATTCATTTTGCGGTACTTGTACATGTACATTACAAATACATATATTTTGCAGTACTGATATATATATATATATTTTGCAGTACTGATACATATATTTTGCAGTACTGATACATATATTTTGCAGTACTAATACATATATTTTGCAGTACTAATCCATATATTTTGCACTACTGATACATATATTTTGCAGTACTTATGCATATATTTTGCAGTACCGATTCATATATTTTGCAGTACAGATACATATATTTTGCGGGGCGTCCGTGCCCGAGTGGTTAAGGTCGTTGACTACAAACCACCTGCCCCTCACCGCTGAAGGTTCGAATCCCGACAGGGACTTTGGATTCTTTCATGTGAGGAAGCTATCCAGCTAGCTTACGGAACGTCGGTGGTTCTACTCAGGTTCCCGTTCGTGCCTGAAATAATGCTCGGAAGGGCACCTGAGGTCTTCCTCCACCAGTAAAGCTGGAACGTCGCGATATGACCTATACTGTGTCGATGTGACGTAAAACCCAAAAAACAAACAAACAAACATATATTTTGCAGTACTGATACATATATTTTGCAGTACTAATACATATATTTTGCAGTACTGATACATATATTATTCAGTACTGATACCTTGCAGTTCTGATTCTTTCATTTTGCAGTTCCATTGCATACATTTTCGGTACCAATTATACACTCATTTCGCAGTATTTACAACATAACTAAATAATAAAACGATGATGACCGATTATTTGACGATATTCGATTGTTTATTATTTCGTTTTAATTAATGCGGTTGTCATTCTCATTGATCTGTCAACTTGCTAATATCGAACCGATTATGCACACGAAATAAAATATTATTGAAACGGTGCGTAAGAATAGCGAAACATGAAGGTCAAGATGTCACGTGATTGATTAAGCGCGTGATACACAAATGTCAAAATGAATAAATATGAATAAAGCTCGATATTAATTTACTTATTGTCATAATAATGCATATGTATGTGTTGTGTTTTGTCATGATTAAATGACATCGAAGAACAAAATGTCACGTTAGAGGTTCAAATGCTAAAGGTTCCATTTTCCGTCTGTCGTGTATCGAACTTGGGTCACTGTTTTCCCAAATTTTGTCGCAGCTGCATTAGCTTAATGTAAAATGTTACTCTTAAAATTCGTATGCTTCAGTCTTTTTGTATCTGCTCTGTGTTTAAATCTCAGACAAACCTAGAATAACCTTAAAAACAAGTGTGCTACCTTTGTAGCTTCCCTCAAATGAAAGAATCCGGCCCAAGTCTATGGCAGGATTCAAAATGGCTCGAAGTCATCGACTCTTAACCACGCAGCCACTGACATCTAGGTAACTGGTGTGGTCACGTGATGAAGGTCAAGATAATACAATGTAAATCTTGAATATTGGAATGTTTGAGCTTTTTGCATTTTCGGGTTTTTCTTTATACTTTGTTACAATCATGTGCAGGCGAACGGAATACTATGAGGTCACATTGAATGTCAAACTAATAGTTGATGCTACAACCTTAAGATATCAATCTTACAACATTACTGGAAGGTGACAGGTCCTAACTTTTTGAGAAAGCGACACGACTGGCAAGAATTAATGCAGTATGTGAGCATATTTTTCATTAAGTTGAATCAGATGGGCAGCAAGTTTCATTTCCATAAAGTGGCAGGCAAAATCGAAACTGACTAAAGTGTGAATGTATTAGCATTTTCAGTAAATTTCAAACTAGGATGCTATCTTTGAAAAGTTTATCAAATCATTTTTAAACATCACTAATCTAAGTTTAAATGCAAGCTGTGTGAACATCGATGCGGTATTGAACTTTAAACGTTGGCGTATTTAAAAAAAAGAAAACCCGAAATTCATTCAATATATTTAAGTGGATTGTAAAGTTATATTCCACTGCAAAAATATTGATTTAATGTATTTTCACTTACGTTTCCCACAAGGTTTAAGTAATTTCATTGAAATGGCCGGGTTTTTTTTTCGAACTCTTTCAAGCGTGCGATACTTATATTATCACAGCATATCTATTGATTAAAGTGTTGGACCGTATATTTTGTTATATATACATTTGAAAAAAAAGTTTAAAACTTCAATAAACAAATACACATGATATTTTAAATCTTTCACCAAGGTATCGATCTTCGCTTAATTGTTGTTTATAGTAGGTACAAAGATACAAGTATAAGTAAAGATTATCAAATAGTGAAATTGTGTCCCAGATATTCAGTAAAGGTAAATTTTAAGCTCGTTAAACCCCTCTGATACTTTGAAATATTTTAATATATGACAAGAGATCTTGTGGATTTGTTTTTATACATATTTTAACGTATAAACACGTTTTGCAAGTTTGCATTCAACCACGCGCAAAGAAGTCCCAGCCAATCAAAATAAGGCGTTTGATACGCTGCCTTAAACATAGAAAAGTGATTTTACCTTTTACAGTAAAATACATACGCTAGAAGCTTCTGCTCTCACTGTCAAGTTAGCGAGCGTCTAGTGTTTGTCAGGTTGCCCCGTATTGATTGGAAAGCCTTCCGCGGAGTTCTGCACACACATCTGCACGGAACGTTGTAACAGAACGGACTCTTAAGAAATAATTTTGTTTTAAAAAATATTGGATATTATCCACAATAAACCTTGTTTTTTGTTTGGATTATCTTCACTGTCGTGAACGAGGTAAAATATTTTACTTTAATTCGATACACTCTTAAATCCATGATATAAAATAATTTTACTTTTGAAAAAAATATATAAATATAGATATATAAATGCATAAGAAAATGATTAATAAATTTGACAGTTGTGACAAATAAAGTGACATAGAAAGGTTTTTAATCCATAATAAAAAACAAATAAATGTCATTAGAAAAGAAGCACATATATTTTGTAGATAAAAAAACTCTGATACTTTAATTATTGGATATATCCGTCATGTTTTAAACGGACTTAGCAATTTAATTTACTTGTCTTAATTTAAGTAGAAAATTTAAAATAGTAAGATATGTGTGTATTAACCAGATTTGATTATTAAGCATTTCTATATCGATACATACAGTGTGTAACAGGGGGGTCTATGTAGCACCGATGATCAAGTCATTTAAGGGCGTGGTGGGTGCTCCACAACAGCGGCTCTTTTTCAATTTACTTTTATTGACACACAGCTTAATATAATAACCAGAAATTGCACACACCTTTTAGATTATAAGAATTAAAGACTATTAATTGTCGAACTTCGACAATTATCATTACATTTGATACGACCTCCCTCCAAAAATATTTTATACACACCAAATTTATTAAAGGCGCACACAGATAGGAACATTACCCTTATACAGATGGGTTAAAGAACACCATTATTTCTAATACATTTGACACGACCTCCCTTTAAAACACGATTATTTCTAGTATATTTGATACGACCTCCCTTTAAAACACGTTTATTTCTAGTATATTTGATATGACCTTCCTCCAAAAAATCCGATACACAGAGATCGAAATGAAATTGTGAAATGTCCTTGAAGGTTGTATAGACTCACAAATCGATCAAGCTATATAGTTATCAGTTATCGATATATCAGTGTAGAAGATAGAAGGATATGTTATATATATTTTGCGAGCTCATCATTTTTTCTCCTGTTTTTGGTATGTTATCTGTTGAATGAAAGAAATCTTTTGTCAACTTGACTTCTAAACAAAACCTTAAATGGACGTTTATTGGCATTCTGACACCATTGCTATAAAAAGCATTATTGTAATTTGATGCGTGATATACGAATTTAACATGCAGAAAATAGAAAAAAATGAACCAAAATTGCCTCTGATACGTTTTATTTTGCGGCAATTTAATGGCATTGTTTTCAATGTGTATAAAAAGGAAATTGCTTGTTTGACAAGTTTTGCCTCAAATATCGTTACTGCAAGTATCCCGAATATCGGGCATACATTTCCAAAAATGTACTTTACTATTTTACACAACCCTTTTTATCCTACTATGCGGTCATACATTCCCCTAAGGTGCAAACCCCCATGCCGCCCTACCCGCTCAAATTCGCTTCTAAGTAACTAAGGTCCGTTCTCCACTTCAATCCATCCAATTGGGGTACAATGTCAGTTATACCTTCCTACCAACCACCCATTTAATATTTGACATAGTTCAGAAAGTTCCTTTCCCTCTTTCATCCACCCGCATGGACACACATTGTCCAGGTCACTTCCTCTATTCGTTCAGGCCTTAAGAGGTATTTTATACATAAAATGCCTATTTTTTAAGAGTTAGGCCATACCGTGTTTTCCTTTAGTTTATTGAGAAATACCGGAGGGGTACCGGGTTTTTTTTTTACCTCGCCCCTCAAATAATAAAAAAGTTTGAAAACAGAATAGCGTAGAATCTATTGCAATCTTTGTCGAAAACCTAGTCTAAGTTTATTTTATAAAGTGTTATCAAAAGGTTTTATTTTTCTGCATATAAATTAAACCAACGTGGCGCTTCTGGAAATGAAAATAACCAACGTACAGCATTATTTTGTCCAAGAATGTGCTCTAGGGCACGTTCCCTTTTTGCATAAGCACGATGCATGTGTGAAATGGACCAAGTTATATTTTAGAGATTTATCGTGCATATTTTACGAGCTCGTCTTACTGTATTATACCATTCGTTGAACATACTAGTATGTCAGGGGAGGCAACTAGAGTTTCAATTTGTGACTATCGTATTCAGCGTTACTTCCCTTTACTTTCAATTCATCGTGACAAGGAAGAGTAACTTGATTGATTAATTATCAAACTATATCACAGTTTGTTGGTGTAAAGATATTTATATGATATCAAGAAGGTGAATAATGACAGACAGTACCAAGATTGACAGTATCGTCAACCAGTACCAATACAATTTGATAGATATTTCATGACCAATTCAAAGATAGTTTAACAGTATATACCAAGTTAGCTGAATTTTATATCGTATAGTTGTGATACCATTTGATTTGTTTTATACCATTTCGAGGGTATTGATTTATGTATGGTATTAGCTAGTACCAAGACAAATAATGGTATTAACTGGGGTTTGGTATACCGGTTAACGGCGGTTGGTGATGATGTTATATGTCGGTGCTTAGACAGTTAAATTTACCTTACCAGTTCTGATTTGATGTTTTGAACCAATTCAAATGCGAATTGTTAGATACAAGATCTTATGTACTAGACTGAGTACCAATTAGGTCGACAATAGTATCACCAAGTACCAATTAAATTAGATCGTTACAATAGTATCACCAAGTACCAATTAAATTAGATCGTTACAATAGTATCACCAAGTACCAATTAAATTAGATCGTTACAAAAGTATCACCAAGTACCAATTAAATTAAGTCGTTACAATAGTATCAGCCAGTGCCAATATAATTTGGTAAAGTAAATTTGTTATATCAGTACCAAGACAATTTAAATGGCATCAGCCAGTTCCAATCGAGTTTATGGTATCATAGACCATCATAGATATTTTTATATACCAGTACCAAGCCGATGTAATTGTATCAACCAGTACATTTATGCTTGGTTATGAGATGCGTTCTCATCAGTACCAATTCTCATACCCACTGAGTTTGAAACTGATAACCGTGGCCTTACCATCATTATGTTTTTTATTGTTTTAATTCCATCCATATTTGGGAAGGAAAAATGGTGGACCTTTTATAAAGAACCTCCCGTGGGCGTAGGCGTGGGCGTTGATATTAAAGATATTCACTTCAATCTTGTTTCAATATCAACATTTGAGTGCTTTTCAAAAGGGCATGGCACCTTTATATACATTTCTGGATAATTCTTGACTGCATTTGTAGATTATTTGGTTAACCCTCTTGAGTCGAAAAAAAGTGATTCACTTTAAACCTGGACTACTTGTTCACTATCAAAATTAGAATGCAAAATGTAAAATGACAGATAATCATGTAAGTCATTTTGCTTAACTTATTCACGGTCTGTTTTTGAGTCGCCTTAAAAAAGGGGGGGTTACTTGCGTCGGCGGCGTCGTTGTCGTCGTCCCCTTAAGCTTGTCCGGAACATGTCAGTCATTATAAGTCAGATTGACTTCAAACTCGGTATGCATGCTTCTTATAATGACCCGAGGTGCAGTGCACAAGAACCGGTACTCTGCACTTCTTAATTTTTGAGTTATTGCCCTTTGTTAATAATTTTCATACTGTATTTTTTTCCTGGCCATTTCTCTTAATGAATAAAAGCTATGGACTTAAAACTTCATAGGATGATAGATCTCATTAGGAAGAAGTGCAGTGCACAAGAACCGGTACTCTGCATTTCTTTATTTTTTGAGTTATTGCCCTTTGTTAATTTTCATACTTTGTTTTTGTCCAGGACATTTCTCCTATAGTATAAAAGCTATGGACATGAAACTTCATAGGATGATAGATCTCATTAAGAAAAAGTGCAGTGTGCATGCAAGAACTGGTACTCTGCACTTCTTATTTTTGAGTTATTATCCTTTATTAATTTTCATATTTCATTTTTGTTCTGGCCATTTCTCCTAAACTATATTGTTCACAAGGCGCGGGGTTCTAGTTTTAAAAGTATTATTTTCTCAAATACCATGAACGATAGTGGGGCTTGCTGTTAACGAACAGTTACTTTTTTGTTGTTATTTTCTATGTATGTCCTTTTAGGTTTTGCTCTTTTCTGGTCAGATGGTGTGTTATATTTAACTATTTAAATCATAACTTGAAACTGTACTATAAAGCTGGGGTTATTTGCACTGATTTTACATTCTCCAGTTGAAAGCATACCTGATTTCCATTTGATTTTCCCCCAGAACTATGCCTGGTTGTCTATTTGTTTAAAACTCCCAGATGATGTCAGAGCAGTTTAGATTTGTTCTATTTATAAATCTCCATATAGATATAAATGTAAATTGTACTTGTAGATACGGTGCTAACCCTCTCAGTTTTATCACTATAGTATTACGTTCTTTGTTTACCAGTACCAATTAAGATACATTGCTTTGTGAGACTATAGCATCCAGTACCATCCAAACGCTGTTTCATTCCAGTACCAATATTAAAAACTGTTGTTAATGCAATAAAGTCAGTATCGTGATTAGATGTTGCATTTGTTAACGTAACACTTGCCTGTTCCATACAAAAATGTTCCGTTTGATATATTTAATATTTGCATGTACCAAGCTAGTTTACTGTTATCAGTTGCAGTGCAGTAACCTCTTACCACTGGTTTCCTGTTGCATGTAATTATACTGCAACCGTTGCTTCTTTTGGTTGGGATTTGCATTAACACAGTATAAGTCATATGGCGACTTTCCAGCTTTACTGGTGGAGTATCAGTACAAATGAAATTTGGTTTGAACAGTACCACGCAATCGCAGTATAAAAACAATTCTACTTCTGTTATCGCAAGTAAGGTACAAGTTAAATATATAGGCTCCCAAGTAGGGTACAGAGATTGGAAGTAACATGAGCTTTTACTTGCAATACAGGGTATATATTGAATTATATAGGCTCACAAGACAGGGTACAGTGATTTTGTTTATATACTATGACAACACTGCTGCGTTCAAGACATTTTAATATATAGACTATTGAACTTACCAGCACCATATAATTCCGGTGTAAATACTTATATTTGCCACTGTCAAGATTGTCGTTTTGTCTGACAGTTAGGCTACCAGTATCGTGGGGTGTTACGTTGTATGCTTTTCCCCGTACCAGGCAAGTCCGGTGTATTGGTTAGCCATGCTATTTGCTATGCCTTTTTCTATCAAGAAGTCTGGATTGTCGGTCAATTAAACTATACAAAGTATAGTATGAACGGTTCTTTTTGGCATCGTAATTGCACGAAGAAATTAATTGTCAGAGTTTCGTCTTTGACGTTAATTTCCTTTACCAAGACGAAAATACTTTGCCAGGGTTTTGTGTTAACGTGTAATGTCGCGTTCGTGTTAACGTAATATCCCGCTTACAAGACGAAATAACTGTTTAGGGTCTTGTGTTCAATGCAATATCCCGCTTACAAGACGAAAGTAACTTTTCAAGGTTATGTTTTAAGTATCCACCTGTTATTAATTTTATTGTTTTTTCTTATTAATTTCATATTTATTTATCTGGGGTTTCGTTGTTGACTGATTGATTGACTGATTCATTGACTGATATTTCATGTTCTACATTTCTGCTTGTCGTCTGAAAAATGTCGCTCACAATAAAAAATTCATACGTTTGCCAGGGGAAAAGGGGAAACTAGTTCCTAGAATCAGATGATTCCTAAATGAGTGTATGTTACCAGCTTGTATGGTACCAGCTTGTCACTTGACACTTGGTTGTCAGCACATGATTTAGCCACCCTTTCTGACTTGCACTTTCTTACGGAATAAATTTCAAAATATTTTTTAAGGGAATCCGTGTGTACTTCAACTGCTGTTTTCTCTTCAAAGATAGTGTGTTTTGTTTGGAAAATGATGAAAAAAGTTCTCTAATCGTTTAATGTAGATCTATTGGATATATGTCCATTTGTGTTTGTTGTACGAGCAAGTGTCGAATTACTTGCTTATTATAAAGAACTTTGAACATTTACCCTGTAATGACTTTGTTATGTGTTCCGCATGTTTTGTGGAAATTGAATTCAGACCTTCCTTTGCTCTTTTACTGGACAATATTTAATGGAGAAAAACAACATAGTTTCATTTTATAGCGTATAACTTAGCAACATCTGAAGTTTCCCGTGTTATATCTTAAATGAAATAGCCCAGAATTGAAATGAATATTGTCAACTTCCGCCATATACTCGTACACAGAATTTACCACCAATATTGTCATTCCAATAATTGCTACCGAAACTACCCTCATTCAAGTGCACATTGTCTATAGCACCATGCATTGTGAATTTATACAAATTCAAATGCATATATCAATATGTATTAAAAAATTACCCACATTCAAATGCACATCGTCTATTCCACTATGTATTTAAAAAAATACTAACATTCAAATTCATATCGTGTATATCAAATTGCTTTCTGAATGCACCTACATTCTAATGCATATTGCCTATTACCATCATATTGTCCAGAATTAAACACTAAATGAATATTGAATTTCATAAATCCTGAAACTACCCACATTCACATCATATATTTCCGTTTAAAGCTGCACGCCTCCAGATGAGCAAAAATATTTCGATAAAATCAAACCTGAGAAAATGGGGAAAGGTATACAGATTCAAAATTCTAGTAAAAATTTGCATGTTATGTGCGCTTAATGACCGAATTTTTCAGTATGTATAACTACACTTCTACTGCGTTACTAACGCATTAAGGGCTATTTTTGCATATTTTGACCTCTTTATAGTGATTTTACATAGGCTGTAAGTGCCATTGATAATGTTTAAATTGCATTCTTTTGGCAACTTTACAATATTATACTGTTAAATACATTTTCAAATTTTCATGAAAATTAGCATGAATCTGGAGGTGTGCTGCTTTAAAATCCTGAAATTACCAACAGTCACATCATCTATTTCCGTTAAAATCCTGATACTACCCACACTCACATAATCTATTTCTAAGATATAGAGCTTTATACACAGGAAATTCTGTTCCAACTCAAAATTCCTCGGTATCCTTAAAATTCCATTAGTTTTTTAAGCTGTTTCATAAAGTCAACTATCTTTGACAATTTAGGATTAAAAAAAAATCTTAATCTCAATATTGACTATGTTAAACACTATTGTTTTTTCTTCCAGATTAACATATAAAAATGGCTTCTGAAATCAGGAAAGAAAAGAAAAAGATGTCCATGAGGAAAGGTGACATTGTTATCCAGAACACCCCACGAGGAAGTATGGGTGGTGTTGGAACTATGACAATGTCTTCGACATCCAGACGAAGCAATGTGATGGGTGGTGGTTACGGTGGTGGTATGATGCTACCAACAGGTGAAGCATCAAACCTCAGCAAACAGGCCGTGCAGACTGTGAAAGGTGTGAGGGGCAAAGAGAAAAGGGAAATGTGCGATCTTAACGGTAGGCTCGCTTCGTACCTGGAAAAAGTAAAGTTCTTAGAAGCAACCAATAAGGCACTTTCCGAGGAATGTGAAAAGTTAAGGAAGATTAAAGGTATCACTGGCGAGAGAATACGAGAAGAATACGAAGAAGAACTGAAAGAATGCAGGGAGGCACTAGAGGAGGCAAACAAAGAAGTAGCTCCATTGCAATCTAAAATTCTCTCACTTGAAGACAAAGTGGAATCATTGGTCGAGGAGTAAGAATACATTTTTAAGGAATAATTTCTACTTTTCGTGTTTCCAATATCGTTAAGACCATTTGTTTTTGGCTCATTTGTTTTTGCTTTAGACCATACGACAACTTTTTAATGGCGACATTTCTATTTCTGATTTCTGCCAGCTTCTTTTGTTGTATTGATAGGATCGGGATAATTCGCACTTGTGAATATTTGTTCGTCGATTATAATGTTTGTTCCCGAGCAAAGCGATTTACATGCCTTGGTACTTGGTGTTTCTATCCCTTCCGTGTGTTATTTTCTAATTTGTACGGAAAATCCCGAAAGGTAATAAAAATCCCATTCCAAAATAGTTTTTAATATTGTCTCTTTAAGTACTCGGCTGTATTTTAAATTATTATTATCATAAATGAAAACAAAATATTACCACTTTCTTTGCAGAAATGATGGTTTAAGGAAAAATATTGAAGATCTCCAAGGTCAGATCGAGAAGCTAAACGCGTTGCTAGGCGAGCACGAGGCTGAGACGCTAACTCTCAGACGACAATGCGAAAGTCTGGCGAAGGAACGCGATAACTGGAAGAAAGAGGCTCTCGGTCTCCGTGATGACAATAACAGACTCAGAAGTGTAAGTTTTATGTCATTTTATTTATAGGATTTATCTCCCTTTACCAGGGTATGTACAACGCAGGTTATATTTGATATAAAATGCAGTTTTTCATAATGTTAAGTTTACTTTCGTTAAGTTAATATGTAGATGTATTTTTACATGTTTTTTTTTTCTAATCTAATAAAGTTGGTATGCGGGTATATCTCGTACAAAAAAAGAAAATTAAATTAATTTAATATGTATCGAGTACAAAAAGAATGTGTATTTTGTTTAAAAGGGGGCGTGTATCTTTTACAAAATAGGTATATCTCTTTGAAAAAAAGATAAACATTTACTAAAAAGGTGTTTAATTAGCGGTATCATACTTGTACAATAGTTACACTGTTGCTTTTTAGCTCGACTTTTCTATGAAAAGGGGAGCTATCCTACTCGCCCCGGCGTCGGCGTCGGCGTCGGCGTTAGCGTTGGCGTCACACCTTGGTTAAGTTTTTCGTACCACCCCACTTTATTTCAGAAGTATTACAAGTATGGCTTTGAAACTTACCATACTTGTTCACCATCATAACCTCCATCTACAGACAAGAGTACATAACTCTGTCAAGGTTTTTGACAGAATTATGGCCCTTTTTTGACTTAGAAAGTGTATTGAGCTTGGTTAAGTTTTTTGTACCACCTCACTTTATTTCAAAACCATTGGAGGTATTGCTTTGAAACTGACCATACTTGTTTACCATCACGACCTTCATCAACAGACAAGAGGACATAACTCTGTCAAGGTTTTTGACAGAATTATGCCCCTTTTTGACTTAGAAAATACATTGAATATGGGTAAAATCCACTTATTGCCTTAACCCTTTGAGATATTGCTTTGAAACTTTTAATGCTATTTCACATCATTACCCCATCTGTACGCAAGAGAAGGTAACTCTGTCAAGGATTTGTTTTAAAAATTAAGGCCTTTTATCGACTTAGAATCTTGGTTAAGTTTTTAGTACCAGTCCACTTTTTGACTGAACTGTTTGAGATATTAATTTGAAAGTTGGAATACTTGTTTACAATCATGATTCCCAAACATGTCCAGGAGAAGGTAATTCTGTCAAAGATTTTATTTGAATTATGGCCCTTAACTGTCAATGTTTTGTATTATAGGCAAGCACTAAAAAACTTAAAAAATCTAAAAAAATTCATTCCTATCCACTTGTTCACTTTACCATAAATTATGTCATATAAACATTGCTGTAATATTCAAGGGTATCAAACAACTAGTTCACTTTAAAAATACAGAGATTCTTGTATTGCCTTTTACTGCAAAAACTTTTTTTATTGGCAAGCAATAAAAAAGTCGAGCGCGCTGTCTTACGGACAGCTCTTGTTTATTTTGTTTGATCTAGTTTTATATTTACCTAGACAATATTTATTATCAGATCAATCCTTTGATAATTTATAAAACAATTTGCTAATTCTAGTTGTACTGTAACACCGGAAGTGATAAGGACGGTGCAATCTGACGTAGAAAACTTATTTAACAATCAAGGGAAGTAATACCTGCCAAACCGGAAGCAGTCTTGATTATTTTTTATTTTTGGTGTTTTTTAGGACTTGGAAGCTGCTAGAACTAGACAAATCAATGCTGAGAATGAAAGAGACAGATATATGGAAGAATGTGATTTCATTAAAACCACCACTGATATAGTAAGTCTCCTTTTTGTTTCTGAAAATATCGACTAATTTTCGGACAATACCGTAATAAACCGGAAATGGCTATCGCGTTTATTTATATTTTTTTAAAAGAACTTCCTTGACATAATAAATTGAAATTATGGTTTCTTTAATAGACTTTTTAGTTGTTTTATGAATACAAATTGTTCAATGATATCAGTATGACTAAGGCAAAGGGTTTTCACTGGGTCTTTAAATTTCAAAATGTGACTGTCTGATATTTTCAAATTGGAGATTCTAAGAACCTTAATCTTTCTATATAACATCTAACATAAAATATAAGTTGTGTAATTGTTGTGCAAGAAAAGTTAAAACAACATATTTGTAAGGGGAACCAGATATATAGAACTTTGAACCTTTTGAAAATAGTTTTTTTAATTACAACAAAGGTGGCCCCCTACTAATGTAGTCATACGGACTAAATCTCAGTCTGTTCCGTTCCTATCCGGAACAAACGGACTCTTCAATTATCGCTCGCGACAATGAAAAAAAGTATTTATCTAATTATATATTTATTGTTTGTGTTTTACAGGAAATTAATGAGCTCAGAGACTTGCTCAGCAAACTTCAAGGTATCCAGCCACAAATTGAGCAGATGTGGAAATCTGAATTCCAGTCGACACTTCTTGACTTACAGGCACACTTCGACACGCAGCTAGAGGAGATGCAGAATGAGCAGAGAATGAGATATGAAGATAAAGTAAGCATTATATTTTAACATGACGCGAACATTTCACGACATTATATGCCTTTAAAGGTGGTAAACATTCGGCCAACTTCGCCACCATTCGTATGTGATTCGCACATCGACCCATGGTCAATACTCAAAAAATGACGAATTTCACCAATTATTAATGGTCATTGGGCGCTTTTACATTGATAAAGATTGTTTTATTTTATAGTACTAGCTTATAGATCAGTTGTTGATCTTTTTATTTCACTATTGAAATGAATGGTTCAATGACAACGTGTAACGGTTTAACGAGTAGCCTCCCTTGATTAGGAACTTCATTAGTTTTGACCAGCATTATTTTTTCAGAAAAGTTCATTTTCAATAAAAAACGGTTTCGGCAGTTTTTTCACTGTTGCATAACTGAATCAAACCTACATTCTTTTTTTGATATTGGAGTGTACTTATGAACCCTGTCCGTACAGGGAACCTTTTTCCGTGCAGAGATCTTTTTTCCGTATAGAGAACCTTTTTCGTACAAAGAACCTTATTCCGTACAGATAACCTAATTTCGTATAGCGTTACATATGAACCCTTTCCTTACAGAGAACCCTTTTCCGTATAGTGTTACGTATGAACCCTTTCCTTACAGAGAACCTTTTCCGTACAGAGGATCTTTTTCCGTACATAAAACCTTTTTTTCATCGGTACTTTTACAGTCAAATAATTGCTTTTCATAATAACTCAGGCGTATGGATTTCATTAATTCCTCTGGACAAAACTTACTTTGTCACGAACAAATCTGAAATAAATTTTTGGTGGTCCAGCTTTTTCCGTCAATATGTAGAAAAAATGATCTAGGATTAAGTGGATTTCCATCTTGTATAAAATATGAGTGATTAGGTGTTGGCAATTTTAAATGATATCAAATTTGACATTTTACTATCATAAATTAATTTTGTAAATTTCTTTCTTTCAATAGGATAAAGCTGATATTCAAGACATCGGGGCTCATATATAAACCCATTATGTTTTATATATACTCGAAAAAAGTCCTCAGTGACCGAGTGGTAACAGTCGATGACTTAAAACCACTTGTCCCTTTCAGTTATGGCAACGATTTTGTCAGCAATGTTTATTTATATTATATGATACAGTTATCTAGGTTGATAGTGAATGCTTGAACTTAACACCCAGATGTTCGTCTGTCCGTTTCCAGGGAATTCCAAGGATGGGCAACATTCCCCTCATCTGTAAATTTGGAGAGTCTCCAGTATAAATACGAATTCAGGGATAACAATTTTCTAATGTACATTTCTCAATTCAAATAGCTAACAGTTTTATTGCATCGTTAGTTTTTTTGTTACCCGTTCATAATCAATTTTGCTGTGACACGAGACAACTTCGGTGAACCACATGCTTCTAAATAACTCAATATAAAACTTATTGGCATTCACCTTTGATCTTGAATTATTTTCAGCTCGCAAGTATGCAACAAAACTTACGTAGGGACAATACGGATTCAACAAATACGAAAATAGAAAATAAACAGCTGAAGGACCAAAATAAAGCCCTAAAAGACCGATTGAATGATCTCGAAAGGGAGGTAATCATGCGTTTAGTTTTGTTTTGTTGTTGTTACTAACTTTACAATAATTTTGCAGTTACGAATGCTAGAGGCAAACTCACGTCGGGATAACACGGACTCTGTGTCAAGTACCGAAGTTAAGAATTTGAGATCAGTCATCAACGACCTCAAGCGGCAATTAGATGACATGCGAGGGGAGGTACAAAAAAAGCACCCATAAACGCATGCATATATTGCCTGTATACTCCATTTAAAATGCTGTAAATGCTTGAAAAAAAACCGCTTGATATATGAATAGAATATTATATTTTTGCTATAGAACATACCAAGTAGAGTAGAGATGCATAATTCTTATTATCCACCTTCATATTTATTTATATAAAGAATGCCTAAGAAGAGAGGTGTTCTTAAAGGGAGATAATTCAAAATCGATATATTTAATAACAAAAAGAAAGAAAGAAGAAAAAGGAAGAAAAAACTACTTTTTTATTTTGCTTAAATTCTTTTTAATAGTTAAAAATAAATATTTGTGATTTGTAAATTTCAAGTAATCATAACTGATAGAATAGTTCGCTTAATTAATCAGATGAGTACTTAAAGTATTTCTGTCTATGATAGGACTTTATACAATGTAGTTCTTAAACAACGCAGCATTTTAAATAGAATGCCCTGCTTAATGGTATTTATTCTATTCAAATCTGCATGCACTTTCAAACTTCTTTTACTATACGTTTATATTATTAGATATAAGAATTTTTATCTATTTAAACTGTTATTTGGCATCTATCTGCAATATTTCTACAATATTAGTATTTTTACCCTAAGATGAGCATAGCATATATTTAACTCTTTTTTAATTCTCAACATTTTTTCCATTTCTTTCAAAGAAATATAGGTTATAAAATTAATGTACTTTAACTAATTAATAAGAATTAATTATCAATCTAATTTAATTTGAATAATAAACCGGTAAACTGTTACCAAATATTTATTAAGAAATTAAATCTTGTCATTTGATTGGTCGAAGTGGTGTTTGATTGACAGGTGTCACATCTTAACAGTTGCGGGTCAACAAAACAGCCACATAGCGCCGCCCGGTAAACTCTATTGGTAGAGCGATGACCTGGAGCCATGTAACCCGGGTTCGATTCCCGAATGGTGCAAGTCATTTTCTTTGTGATTATGAAATCCTTTCTATGGTCACTCGCGCTGTACCACGGCTCTCTGGGCAAGTACAAAAGTAACTAGCAGTTCCTTGCGAACATAAAGGCTACAAGTACTGGTAAAAAGCTTGGCATCTTGCCCAGGAACGGTGCGATAGCTGAGCTGTTCTCTGGTGAATTCTATGTGGCTCGTTGCCGTGAACTGCAGGGTAGACAGCAAACACCACCGCCCCTAATCACAAACACTCATAAAATCTGATGAAATCTGCATTATTTTTAAGATTATGCTCTGCACAGATGTTATGTTTTCCTGAATAGGGAAACTATACATATTGATACTTAAACATAAAATCAGTTATAAAATTTTCATTCCTCATTTACTTTTAAACCAAAAACTAACTATATGATATTATGTCCAGGTTTTTTTCTTAATTTTCATACTTAGGGGAAAATCAGTTAATGAAAAAAAGTATTTAAAAAATCAAACTTGATGTTTAGCGGATGGCACGATAATAAGCTACGTGTAATTTTAAAACCGCCCACAAAATAAAATGACATTTTCGATAGTAACAAATTAGGAAATTTAAGAAAACAGCATGTCAAATAAATGCTGCATTATTCGGAACATTTAATAATTGACACAATATTCTTGCACGGTTCTTATTTTATTCCGCCTTGCTATTTGTTTTCATATCTTTACAGAGAAGCTATTGTATAACCCAGAATTTCGTACATAGACCAATTTATACAAATTATTATTATTACTGCAAAGAGGGTTTGGTGCGAGCTTTTGTAATTTAATCGATAGGACAGATTTTATAATGTACATTACTATGACTTCCGGTGGGGAAGCGATCCTAAAGACGTCACTGTCGTCATTGACTCTACAACACAACAAATATTATCCTTATAAAATCTTATAATATAATATCTTTGCACCGAATCCTAACTATATTATTGTTCTTCTAGAGCTTGTTGAACTAAAGTTTTATTATTCTAGAATGCTTGAAATTATTATAAATGAATTAAAAAGCGTATTGGGTCGAAATGTTATAAGTACGAAAATATGTCAAAACGGCGTTTTATCGGCCTTTTACCATTACGCCCCACAGAGGTGGGACATTAATTTCAATTGGATGTAAATACGGAACATGCATTTTAAATCTAAAGACGATAAGTTTTTAATTTGTTATTAAACGTACATGCTTTTGCTGATTTTAATATTTCAGTAAAATATGGTTAGTTTTATAAATGCATCTATTTAAGCCATACTTTTCTTTTAATTCTTCTCTTTCATGATCAGACATTGCTCTTCAACGCGTTACTGATGTTACATGTTTATTTATATCATTGATATACCATAAAAAAGATATAGACAAGACGTCATTTGAATACTTCTCTAAATAATGTTTTTGAATTATCACTAGAAGCATGTAATATTCAATAATATTGACAAATTATTATTTGAAATATTCGTTATGAGAAAAACAATTTTGATTCATAATGCAAAAAGTAAGTTGTTGCAAGTAATATTAATTTATTGTTATGATTAGGCATCAAATGTTAATGGTTAAACATCATATGTTTACAAAAAAAACAACAATCTTCATCATTTACAGGTAACAACCATTCTTAGATCGTAAAAATTCGGCAAATTCCGTTATTTTCCGTACCGTACAAATATCAGATAGGCATTCAATGACATGGAGCAATACCCTAAACTAAAAGCTTACTAAATTAATATCCGATACGGGAAATGACGAAGTATGTCGAACTTAAACGAGCAGTACTAGAATGGGATTTGACAATACATGATATGGGGTATTTTTATTATTAGAACGAGTCCCTGAGAAGGCAGCTTGCAAGCTTAAAGGCACAGCACGAGAGGGATTGCGAGGATTGTGAGAAAGAAAAGAACGATTTGAGACAGAAAATCATGGGCTTGGAAGCAGAAATTGCAGATATTAGCGCCGACTTGGAAGATTTACAGTCCAGCAAGTTGGACCTTGACCTTGAGATCGCCTGCTACAAGAAACTTATGGAAGGAGAAGAAAACAAGTAAACTTCAGCATACAAGAATATTCAATGACAATTTCAGTTTTTTTTATTGTAAAGAACAGCGTCAGTTTTATGGCAGAGTTTTCCCTGTTTTTTCCCTATTTGTTGTTATACTAATAAATTCAAAGTAACTAACAATTAAGTAAGATAGAGGCTATGTGTGTGTTTTATTTTTATCTTTTTTTCTGCTAAAGAAATAGTGTAAATTTGATCAAGCAGATGCACAAAATAATAATAATAGAAAAAACTTTTAAAAACTTTGGGAACGTCTTTCATATATTTGAGGCGGTCCAAATGTTAATTTTTATCTGAAATTTCAGGATTAGAAGAACTTTGGAGGACACACAGAATATGCAAAGTTCTGGTGGAGCAAGTTTGTCTAGTATAATTTCCAAGGGAGTTAGTGGCGGCGGTGGCCAAAGTTCACAATCGTCCAGTTAGTAACATTAAAACACGATTTTATTACTCAGAAATGTGAGGGTGGACGAGTGCACATTTATTTTACATGTGTGAACTCGCTCCGAACGAAGGCATTCGGCAAAGTAAACTTAGTTCCATTACCAACATTTTGGCCCATTTTAAACCGGTTTTTTTAAAGCGTAGAATCGTATAACTTTATATAAAACAAACTTCTGAAAAAAAAGATAAAAAGCTATTTTTAACTAATTAAACTTGTATTCTTTTAATATGTTACTGGAACAAAATAAAGTTTTTGATGTCACCAAATTTTAAGTACCTGTCCTTGACAAGAAATGGAACAAAGTTAACTTTGTCTAAATAGCGAAACAAAGAAAGTATCATATATCGGAAACAGGACAATTTGCTTGCTTTAGTCGAAAGAAACATACATATTTACATATTATTTTTCACGATGAATTTTTTTTCACACATATATTAAATTAGTACAGTAATTGACATGTATAAATTTGCTGACGGTGATTTGCTACATCAATATATCTGCTTTTGCTATGGATTAGTCGTAGAAAGTGTTTTACAAATAATAATGTATATATACTATACATGTATACAGTAATTAGCAAAGTTTTCTAGGAAGAATGTTCCAGAAATAAGTACACTAGGTGAAACATTTTGCACTGCCCCTGTAAACACGCCGCATCTAGCTTTATTTGTTATAAAAAAGGGTGTAATATATTTTTAAAGCTTTCATTTTATCCCAGCAATGTCTGTGAATCTGTAGTTTACTCATTCATTATAAATTTCCAATTTTTTTTACGCATTAATTAATTGATTAATGGTTCAATTAAATAATTAGTGAATGGACTGATTACATAATTGATCAATTAATTGATGAAAAAAATCATTCCGCCAGTCTAATTTTAGCAAGTCAGATGGCTAGGTTGTTTATGTAGGTGTCCGTTAACGTTGCTGGAACCGAAAAAAAAAAGAGAAATGAGCCTTGGCCGCCAGTTTAGAGCCAGGCTGGTTCTCATCTTCGTGCTGTCTGACCAGGCTCTATACTGTTAGCTGACAATAAATTTTCATCTTTTTTACCTAAGCATTTACAAGTACATTTCAAATAATGGAATCTGATTAATGCCTTTTTAGAAAATCAATCAGGATGTAAATATATCCGCTACGATAATGAATTATAATTAACTCCCGTTAGTAACAACAACAACAAGAAAGTGTAGGAATTTAGTCGGGAAGCGGGAGGGGGTCTGTAAAGTTGGAGGTTGACACCATGACATTTTTACAAAATTATTTTGAATCTTGAAATTGAAATAGGTGATTAATTACCAGCGTTTTTGAGTCATTGCGTAGGTTTTTTCTAGTAGTTCTATTCTGACCCTTTAACTCTTGCGTATTTGCCGTGCTAGCGCACAGTTGGGAATCCTTTTTCATGACTTTCCTTTACCCGTGTGAAAATATGTAGTTTGCTGCAGATATACGGTTAACAGAATATGGGCTTCTCTGATTTAGATTTTAGAAAAGTTTAAATTAAATGCTCTTTTGCTAGGATTTTAAACATTATATCAATAAAATACAAGATTTCCTTACAATTCTTGTGGGGAAAATTTTGTGCCACTTAGGATTCGATTGGCATTTGAGTAATACGACCATAATGATGTGTTCTGAAGTTATGTTTACACGGCTTAATTTGCGAATGAATAATGGAATTTAATGATTGTTATTAATGGCATTATACAATATACATACACCACCAGCACGTATGCATGTGTAGGAAGGAACAACTGTTTATTTTAGTATTTTGAATTATCATCTTTTGCTGATATCGGCTCCGAAGTCTTCCGGATTGTGATAAAACTTATCTCGCAGTGATCTCCCCTTATCAGTACAATCTGCCAAGGGAGGTAATCACTGTGAGGAGTTTGAAAACTTATTTTATACAAAAAGCCTATATTCCGTTTACCCTTCTTGCCTCGTCAAATTTTGTCTTTCCTAAGTAAATATAAATTAAAAAAGGGCTTATTGTTTTGTAAAAAAAACAAGGAGCATATATGTTTTTTTTTTTTCGGAAATATTTGTGACTTTTTAAATGTTACTAGACTTACATATATGTATTTTATTTACAATTTGTCTGTTTGTTACTTGTGATGTATTTGTTAAAGAATAACATACATGATTACTAATGTAAAGCTTTTTTTTAATTTATATTTGCTTCCACTATTACCTTCCACTGATGTTCATACTAAGTCAAGAGGCATTCTTCACTTTGGTCTGGCCTTAAAATGTGATTTATATGCTCAAAATAAATTCTTTTAAATTTTTTAAATCTGTTTTTAAAGTGTGATTCCGAACTAATTTCTTTTTCACATTACTCGTTTATACATAAAACTGCGATATAATACGTTTATATGCTAAACTTAGAATATATGTTAATATTAAAAAATTATTTGAATAAATGTTTTTATCAACTATTGCCTTGTTTCATTGTATGAAGTATATGGGTCTTTGAACATTTTTATTATTAATATTTTTGTATTTATACATGTACATATGTTATATTCTCAACAAAAAGGAAATATCGTAGACAAAAAAATGAAGACAATTTTTGATTTAAAAATTATATTTTTTTATGCTAAACATATAACAACATAACGACTGAAAATGTTAAACATATATACACAAATATATTTTTTTAAATGAAAAAAAAATAAAATAAAGAAAACCGTATAGTTTCATTACACGTTTACCTGAAGAACTAACAACATTTTGGTTACACGTTTACAAGTAAACGTTAAATGCTTAACTTGTTACACGTTTATGAGAAGAGTAGTTAATCGAGAGTTTTCTTACACGTTTCCTATTTGACTTAATACACGTTTACGAATAAAAGTAATAATTATGTCATTTGTAGCATGTTAACACATAACATATGTAACATTTTTATCGTTAACATACTATGATTAATATTAACATGGTTTCTTGGATTTTGATATTTGTGTATATCTTAGGATAATATTTTCAGTCACGTGGTTTTTGGTAAAGGATTAATATGGCTTCAACATAATTGCATGATTGAATAAATAGTCTTGAACACAAGTAATAACGCCTTAATGTTTTGCTTTGTCAGTACTGTCTATTTCAACTGGTGTTTCATTATATAAAACATTTGTTGATTGCTTTTTTCCAAGATTTCTAAATTTTTTCATACCTGACAAATGAGTGTTTATTGTTAGCATAACTGACAAATCATCAAGCATTTTGTTCACATAATATGCCATGTGCAATCCATAACACTGAATTTGTTTAACATATTTTTTTTTCAATAATTCTGTTATTACACGTAATTTAACTAATTACAAATGAGAGCCATATTTTGTACTAATAGAAATTAGGAAACCAGTTTGAACAAAACTTAATAGTTCATAAACTATGCATGCTAGATCTATGTGTTACTGAATATATGTTGCACTCCTATAAAATAGTGCTTTATGTAACAAGACAGTGGTAGAAGATGAATTCCATTTTTATGTTCTGTTTGTTACGGGCTTATTTTTTTTGGGTTCATTTTTTTATTTATTTTTTTTTATTTACTTTTTTTATAGACCCCGTTGTTAGTAAGTATATCGAAAACATTATGTTTGTTTTGTTGACGTTTCGCCGCAAAGGATTACGTAACCATTATATGACTTTGATTCGTTCTGTAATACTGTTTTTACACGTTGTTCCTTCACCGTATCTAGTCCATCTATCCAGTACACGTTTTTATTATTTTAATTTTATTATCATTTCACAAATTTTATTACCCATGTTTTGATTAACAATGCCCCTCTTCCCTTTTCCCTTTGTCGTTAATATGTACTCTCTATGTTTGAAACCGATAAACAGAAAAAAGTACTGTTTTACTCATATTATCACGTGTGTCACAGGCAACAAATTTTTTCCCCAAACTACCAGTGCAGACCAGAATCAGGCGGCACATCTGCTGTATGATCATCGTCTGCACTTTTTGCTATGTAGTCAGTTCATATTTTAAGTTTTCCCCTAAAAACGATTAATGGCTTTGTCCAGATTAAAAGATGGTCATGTCTATTTACAATATTTTAGCGTGATAATGGGTTAAAACAGGTACTTTTTTCATGTTTGTAAAGCATGCTAACTAATTTAAGGTAAGGAATCAAAGTCATACTGCATGTGATCTAATTAACACCGCCATAAATGCGGTATCTTAAAACTTCGTCTGAAATTTTGTGTGTACTCAGGAATATTTATATAGACATTACTCTACCAATATCTTACACGTTTAACACAAGTGGGTACATTATTAAAGCGTAGCTCTTTTTGTCCTATAAAAGAACTCGAGGAATTTCATGTACATGTATATTTATGTGATATATATATATTAGTTACTAACCTTAAAAAAGCTCATTGAAATTGTCTGGAAAAATCAAGACATTCCATTGGTCAGTGCACAAAAGTCAATATATCCATGCTTTGTACATGGCCGATTGTGCAATTACATCATACGAAAATGATGTTTTCAATTACGTCATACTTCATTCAAAGACAGTAAAGATAGCCGAAAGCTGGCTTTTATCTCATGTCCATCGTTTGTTTCGCTCAAAAGAAGAATGAAACGGTGAATAAAAACGAAAGAGTAAGTATTTGTAATTCGTTGTACCTAACCTAACATGTAGTTGTTTTGTCTTCATCTGTAAAGGTAACGTATTCTGTTGACGTCAATCTACCATTGAGTTCCAGGTCGTTTTCAAACTTTGTTATTTCCGGTTTATCCGATTGTAGACTGTAGTAGTACAATGTATTCGGATACTTATTTATTCGGATAAGCAGAAATCACAAATTAGATAGCGATTTCACATGGGAGTATTTGATAGTCAATTTGAATACGGTGCCTTAGTAAATTACTACTCAGTATTGAAAATTCGTAGCTCTCTATACTATAAAGAAACCGACTAACACTTATTTAAATATATCCCAGTACGCTGGCACTTTTCCTCATTCTCCTTTTGGGTTTGTAACATATAGATTAGTCTTTCATTATTTTATTTTTTTAAAATAGCACTTAACGGGTGATGGCGGAATGATATTGTATTGTTGTTATTACAAGCCTGAATGCTCGCAAATTTAATGTTCGCTTTAGCCAAATGTTTTCTGCAACTAAATACACTGTTTTAACCTCTCCTCTTTCAAAACATGAAATACATGCCTCAAAATATTGCTTCTTTCTCTACAGGTATGAGTCAGTCACATGGCAAAGTACAAGTGTCTAGAAACTCACAATGCGATATCCAAATCCAGGAGTGTTCCCAGGGCGGAAGTTACATTGTCTTAGCTAACTCTTCCAGTAAGGTGAGTGTCTCGGGCGAAAAATAAAATAATAGAAGAAACTTTATTCAAACTGGGACATGATAAAAAAATTTGGTTTCTTGTTTTCCTTTTTTAATTTTCGGTGTTTTATTTTAGGACTTCAACTTGAAAGACTGGACCCTGGTCCGAGAATTCAAAAAACGTGGTGAGGACAGGAAGGGATCGTATAAATTCAGCAATCTTGTCTTGAAACCAGGAAAATCCGTGAAGGTAACTATAAAACTTTCTTGTACAAAATGAAATCTTCAGGCATATTTTAAACCAATCCCTATTTAGTATGTCAAAGCATAATTCTTTTAAAGCTGTGATTTCTTTATCTCTCTTTGTAAGTGTACTCGTACAGAGATAAAGCGTTCAAAGTTGAAATGTTACTTGACATCTACAATATTAAGTGACATTATTCCCATCAAATTGAGCATACTGTCACTTAATGTGTAATATATTGAATCGTTTAAAAACTGGACTATTTGTTTATAGATCCCTGCAAAATGTACGTATATATATTTAGTGAAGGGTACACATCTGTTATTTGTACACATAAACAATAAAGAATAAATATTTTAGTTAAAGTTTTAAAATTTTTATCTTTGTAAGGTGAACACATAAAAAGTGAAGATTATATCTTTTTTAAGTTGAAATAATCTTTGTTAAGTGTACTCTTATAAATTGAAGAATAAATCTTAAAAGTTGTAACATTTTTTTTAATTTTTTTAGATGAACACATACGATCGTGGCGAGGCGTCCGTGGCCGAGTGGTTAAGGTCGTTGACTTCAAACCACTTGCCCCTCACCGCTGTGGGTTCGAATCCCGACAGGGACTTTCGATTCTTTCATGTGAGGAAGCTATCCAGCTAGCTTACGGAACGTCGGTGGTTCTACTCAGGTGCCCGTTCGTGCCTGAAATAATGCACGGAAGGGCACCTGAGGTCTTCCTCCACCAGTAAAGTTGGAACGTCTCGATATGACCTATACTGTGTCGATGTGACTTAAAACCCAAAACAAACAAACATACGATCGTAGAGATCTATATAAAAGCTGAAGAATAAATCTCTTAAAGTTGTAATTCATTTTTTTTTTATCAATTTTACACAATTTACGTAAATGATTAGATTCTAATTATTATTTAGATCTACATTCACATATGAAGTGAAGAAAGGTCTTGTTTTTATCTTTTTTAAGTGTATTCCTAAAAAGTGAAGGATAAATCTTTTAAGTTGTAATTTTTATTATTTTATATTTATAATTTTCATACCACAAGATGAAAATATATAAATCCTTCATTTGTAGAAAAAACTTGAATTTTCTGTTCATTATATACATTTTCTCTTATTTGACATCAGAATTTGAATGACTTTCCCTCAATTTTTGTATATTGGCTGTACATAGCAGAAAGTAGTCCGGCAAACACCAATGAAAATACGAAAAATATTTTTAACTGCAGTGAAAACTAATTTTTTAGAATCTACAGTGGAAAAAAACTGAAAATTAAAAAAAACGTATTTAATTTCATCAATAGTTCTGATTATTTCATTTTTAGGTGTATTCATTCAATGACAGAGATGATTACGAGGCTGATAAGGCGGACAAGAGTATCAACTACGAGGTTTGTGTCGGAGATGAAATTAACTGCAGAACATTTGGCTCTGGTAATGGAACAGCCAGGCTTCTAAATCCTTCCGGAGCAGTAAGAACATTTTTTTTAATATTGTTTATTCAATATTTTTGTACAAATAAGTTTTTAGTGCTTGGCATATGGCTAGATCAATCAGTAGACTATATTTCTACTATGAAACTTGTTTTTATTCACTTAAAACCATAAATTAAACGTTGTTATTGAAATGGTACACGCTGTGGCGCATATGACATCAATTATGACGTCATCTTGTTTTCAGTTAATTCGTTACTGGGAGTACCCTTCATAATATTATTATATCCATATTCATTTTTTAATTGTGTAAACCAATTGTTGACTTATTTATTTTTTTTTCATTTCTTTCAGCAAAAGGCCTCCTCCACCATGACGTACCTGAATAATTAAATCAAACATAGCATCATCTGACGTCATATGTATATTATCTAAATGAACATTTTCATGGCGTCATTGATTTCGTCATCAGTGAAATGAAAATACAGCCATCATGAAATCTAGCAACAAATTTGAATGCCAGGCTAATGGAAAATAAAACAGCACGAAGATTTCTTAATTGATACATGTATATGCATACCATCTTAAGATTATTGTACATGTATAAATGTTATTTTGACTGATAATTTAAATCTGTTTGGGAGTATACGAAGCACGTGGACATTGCTTAGAAACAGATGTTTTATAACAACATCTTGTTTAATTTCTTATTGCATTTCATATGTTTTTGAGATTTTTCTATATTTATGCAAGCTTGTATATAATGGTAGTTTTTTTTTTTCTCAGAGAAAGTTATTTTTATATCTATTTCATGCGGTTACCATATTGTTGACCTTCTTATCTACGAACTATAACTTAAAAAAAAAAGAAGTTGTAGACCTATATAAAGTATGATTGACTTAGTTATGTAACTCTTCTTATTACAAATCGATTCATTGGTGCTAATTTCAGCGGAAACGCACGAAGTAGACCGAAATATGTTTAATTTTTGTGTAGATACACTAAAATGCATAATTATGACATTTGTTCAGAACGTCTGTTGTTATTTTTATTAAGTGAACAAAAATTTGATTTATTTCGTCCTATAATGCGTGGATTCGTGTATAAGTAAAAAACGATATATACTCTTTCTGTATAAAGCGATGTATGTGAGGTCGGTAAATGTACATGTGTAACTGTGCTTGACAAGAACTATTTTAGCATTTACATCTACATGGTTATATATATAAAAAAATTAAACCAAATATAAGAAACTAACACCAACTTTTTTGGGTGTGTTTTAACGTAACAAAAAACATGGTGAAAACAAAAAACATAAAATATCAATTGTGTACATGTTTATTAATTTCGAACATTTTTATTAATTTTGAACATGTTTATTAATTTTGAACATGTTTATTATTTTTGAACATATTTATCAATTTTGAACATGTTTATTTATTTTGAACATGTTTATTTCAATAAATTTTGAACATGTTTATCAATTTCGAAAATCCTATCAGTACGCCAATATAAATTGTGATCTTGCACGATTTTTCAGATTCTCGAGATTGCGTGTTTTGGTGTTGAATATGTAGATTTTACATGTACATGTATGTTTGATTATTGACAATAACATTTAAATATTGATACTTATAAAGAAAGGGAGAGAAAAACATCATACAACTTTTTTTAAGAAAAGAAAAGGCTTATGTGTAGATCTATATTCATAATTGTGCATGAATTATTATTATCTTATAAAAGGTTTTATTCTGTAGATAGGTTTATATATTTTTTGTTAGAAGTTTCTATAGTTTAAAAGAAAAAAATAGTTCGTTTAATTTTATGCGGAGTCATTTCCCAGGGTACTTTGCCTTTCGGTGTACTATGTTAATTTTAGTTTTGTTTCTAAAATCTACCACATGTATCTTTCTTAGGAAGGTACGATACGGACCAAGAGGTTTGAGTCTCTTTAGCTAAATTCAAGGTTTCTCAGACCACCCGATGGTTTTTATTTACTTCTAAACTGGTCATATATTCAATATTGACTTCACTAGCATTTATCAAAGTTTGTTTCAAAAGATATTCTTAAATTCGTAGAGCTTATGCTTTTACACACTAGATATATTTTAAATGCGTTAAAGCAAATAAAATTAAATATCTTATATATACCGCTCTTTCTTGTCTTTTTTCCTTGTAACACAGTTGATTCAAATTCAAGGCAGAATTATTTTGCCTTAAGGACGTTTTAGGGAGTTTTCATTAAAACATATAGGCAAAATTAAAACTGTTCTATAAAATTTCTTTAAACTTAGCATGTTGTTAAAATATGATAACAGAAACATTTTAAGCGAAAAAAAAATTGGGGTAAACGTTCTCGTTTTTTAATTATCTGCCCCTGAATCAGACTTTTCTACTTATTTGAACATTTCAAGGGCAGATAACTTATACATACTTAAATGAATTCTTATTTTTACTTATGGATTATGTTTTTCTTTTTATTGTTGAGTACAATACAGAATAACATGCAATTCCTTACATCGTTTCTGTTATTTTTTTTCAATGAAAATAAAGGTACTTTAAATTCTTTAAAAAGGCCATTTTTTAAGAAAAAATGCACAGGTTAAATGAAGAAGTGGGAATAAAAACTACCCACTCGAAATTTGTTCTTGAAATTTTGCATATCGACTAAAACGAAGGTAAGCTTCATGAAAATAAGAAAAAAATTGTATTCTTACCCTTCATTGTTAATTATCTGCCCTTGAATTTAACAAAAAAGTCCAATTTAAGGGCAGATAACTCAAAAACGAGGACGGTGACCCCAATTTATTTTTCGCTTAAAATGTTTCTGTTATCATATTCTAACAACATGCCAAGTTTAAAGAAATTCTATTGAACAGTTTTAGTTTTGCCTCTATGTCTATATGAAAACTTCCGAAAACGTTTTTAAGTGTAAAGCAAGTTTGAAGATTTTATGCAAAAATCTTGAATAAGGGTGATCCATCAGAAGTAAAAATTTTCATATAGAAAGAGATAAAAGACATTCTGCTTATGAAAGGCATTGAAAATACGTAGATATGGATGGAAGGCCTTGCTTATTTTTACTTATTGACGTCGTGTGTACTGCAATCATTCCCTTTTATGCCATCATGCGTTAATTAATTATTATTTATCCGCTCGACTGCACTGTCTGCGTAATAGGGGAGTAACGTGAAGCGTGTTTGAATTTGGTATGATGCTGTAAGAAAGTTAGTGATACTATTTGAAAAAGATCAAAGAATTTTTGCATATTTATTTACCACATCAAGGCACGTTCACTTCTTGTATAATATCTATATGGTTCACTTCATGCCCATAGTCGCAATTATGGGTCAATGCCTATTTGACTTATATAATACCTGCTCTGTAACTCTTTGAAAGGTTTTAAAGAATTTTTAACAAATCTAAACCGCATTGAGCGGGCATGCGTCCTTTTTTTCCTAAATGTTATTTTGCGCTAGGATGCACTGTCTCTATTAATCTTTTCATGAATAGCATTACTTGCAATATTATCCATTTCAAGTCCCTGAGAAAATAGCAATAACCGTTAATAATCGACTTGTTGATAAAAACTATTCCCTTCGGCCCATATTCGGTAAAGAAAAACCTTCGATGTCGCACCAGGCCATGATATTTCCACATAACAGTCTCGTCGCTATCACTATAACTTGTGGAATCTTAAAGTAAATGTAAACATTATTATAGAAACATACCGGTTTCATATGACACGAAAGTTCAATACTTACAGTTTGGATTGTCCAAGTTTTATATCCTTTATTAGTGAATCATACGTCAACATTTTCATATAGTCGGGCCTTTTAATATTTCTTATGCTAGCATAAGCTAGTAAGCCCTGTCATTGTGGTGATCAAACACACTTATGTTACTATTGAACTTTCAGTCAAAGGAACGATACCTTAATTGTTCCTTTACATTGACTATTATGAAAGTGGTACTTAGTTTTGTAGATGGTTTCTACATCACTTATGGAACTCTTCAGCACATATGGTTTGTTATCTTACGCCAGTTGCAATTTTCAGGGGTGGTTACTCTATCTGACTTAATAATGAAAGGATAGAGTGATTTCCCGTTGGTTTCTTCAGGAGAGGTTACTCTATCAAACTAAATGATTAGAGGTAAGATCCAAATGCCATTTGTAATTTTCAGGGGAGGTTACTCTATCTGACTTATGTATATGAAAGGTTAGATTGATTTCCCTTTGTTTTTTCTTCAGGGAGGTTACTCTTTCTGGATTAATAATTTAAAGGTAGAGTGTTTTCCCTTTGTTTTGTTCAGGGGAGGTTACTCTTTCTGGATTATAAAGAAAGGTAAGACATATTTCCCTTTTTTCTACAGGGAGGTGACTCTGCCTGACTTAATACAGAAAACGTGAGAGTGATTTCCCTTTGTTTTGTTCAGGGGAGGTGACTCTGCCTGACTTAATGAAATGTAAGTGATTTCCCTTTGTTTTCTTCAGGGGAGGTTACTCTATCTCGCTTTTTAATTAAATGTTAGAGTGATTTCCCTTTGTTTTCTTCAGGGGAGGTTACTCTTTCTGGCTTACAAGAAACGGTAAGAGTGATTTCCCTTTGTTCAGGGGAGGTTACTCTATTTGACTTAATAAGGAAAGGTAAGAGTTATTTCCCTTTCTTTTGTTCAGGGGAGGTTAAAAGAGTGATTTCCCTTTCTTTTGATCAGGGGAGGTTACTCTATCTGACTTCAAAATGAAAGGTAAGAGTGATTTCCCTTTGTTTTTTTCAGGGGAGGTTACTCTTTCTGGCTTCAAAATGAAAGGTAAGAGTGATTTCCCTTTCTTTTGTTCAGGGGAGGTTACTCTATCTGGCTTAATAAGGAAAGGTAAGAGTGATTTCCCTTTGTTTTCTTCAGGGGAGGTAACTTTTTCTGGCTTAATAAGGAAAGGTAAGAGTGATTTCCCTTTGTTTTGTTCAGGGGGGTTTACTCTATCTCGCTTTTTAATTAAATGTTAGAGTGATTTCCCTTTGTTTTCTTCAGGGGAGGTTACTCTTTCTGACTTAATAAGGAAAGGTAAGAGTGATTTCCCTTTGTTTTGTTCAGGGGAGGTTACTCTTTCTGGCTTAATACAGAAATCTTAAGAGTGATTTCCCTTTCTTTTGATCAGGGGAGGTTACTCTATCTGACTTCAAAATGAAAGGTAAGAGTGATTTCCCTTTGTTTTGTTCAGGGGAGGTTACTCTTTCTGGCTTACAAGGAACGGTAAGAGTGATTTCCCTTTGTTCAGGGGAGGTTACTCTATTTGACTTAATAAGGAAAGGTAAGAGTGATTTCCCTTTGTTTTGTTCAGGGGAGGTTACTCTTTCTGGCTTAATAAAGAAAGGTAAGAGTGATTTCCCTTTGTTTTCTTCAGGGGAGGTTACTCTTTCTGGCTAATACAGAAATCTTAAGAGTGATTTCCCTTTCTTTTAATCAGGGGAGGTTACTCTATCTGGATTGATAATTAAAGGTTAGCGTTATTTCCCTTTTCTACAGGGGAGGTGACTCTGTCTGACTTAATATAAGGTAAGAGTGATTTCCCTTTGTTTTCTTTAGGGGAGGTTAATCTATCTGGCTTAATAATGAATTGTAAGAGTGATTTCCCTTTGCTTTCTTTTTCCATTTGCAATTTTCAGTGGAGGTTACACTATCAGAAAGACTTAATGATAATGGATGTGTTTACCAGTTTCCGGGGGAGGTTACTCTAAAAAATATATAATAAGTATCTTATTAATAAAGATTGGGGAAAGATAACTTAACACGTTCAGAAAAGTCCTTTTTAATTCCAGTACTATTTCATCGTTTTTCAAAATAATTTGCATACAGAAATACAAGTAAATGTTTTTGTTTACAACATCAATGATATCAATCAACTGCATAAAAGACAAAACTGTTGCATGATACAATATTTAATATGAATTAAGGTGCTATCTATGGCGCGGAAAGCTCTTAATACGTAAATAGTAAGATTACTTAGCTCAAACTGAGTTCCGGTTGTGTTTATTGTTCAAAACTTAAAATTAATTTATTAAATGTCAAGTTTTCGTTAACGACTCAACTGACGTTTATTTTTAAACCTCAGCATTTAAGATGAATTTACTTTAACTTAAAGTATACAGGACGCAAATCAAGTAAAGTTCTTTTTGAGAACTATTCATGACTCATTGCAATTTCAAATTATGAATCTATTTCAGTTCATAGTTAATCAGAGTTTAAAAAAAAAAGAATTTAAAGTACTGTTGATAAAATACATCTCATATAATCACTGAAACCAAAATATGTAAAACTATTTGAGCCGCGTCACGACAAAACCAACATAATGGGTTTGCGACCAGCATGGATCCAGACCAGCCTGCGCATCCGCGCAGTCTGATCAGGATCCATGCTGTTCGCTTACAAACTCTATAACATTTAGAGAAACTGATAGCGAACAGCATAGATCCTGATCAGACTGCGCGGAGGCGCAGGCTGGTCTGGATCCATGCTGGTCGCAAACCCACTATGTTGGTTTTGTCGTGACGCGGCTCAAATATGTTAAAATATTTGTTTTCGGTCAATACTTTGATATCAAATATATAACTCAATATAGTTCAAATAAGACTGTTAACAAAACTATTTATAACTAAACTTTCCAATAATATAAAGACTCAAACTAAGTTATTTTTATTATTGTTCCTTTCAAAATCAAACTAAGTAAAGTTATGATATTTCAAGTATTCTTCAAGACTCAAGATGTTTCAAGTATTGTTCCAGACTCAAACTAAGTTATGATATTTCAATTATTGTTCCAGACTCAAACTAAGTTATGATATTTCAATTATTGTTCCAGACTCAAACTAAGTTAAGATATTTCAAATATTGTTCCAGACTCAAACTAAGATATGTAAATTATTGTTCAAAAAATCAAACTAAGTAAAGTTATGATATTTCAAGTATTCTCTAACACTCAAACTAAGTAAAGATGTTTCAAGTTTTCTTCAAGACTCAAACCAACTTAAGATATTTCAAGTGTTGTTCCAGACTCAAACAAGGGTAAGATATTTCAAGTATTGTTCCAGATGCAAACTAAGTTAAACTGTTTTAAGTATTGATCCAGACTTAAACTTAGTAATTTGAAT